GCCCCATAAGTATGCATGCTAGTATTTTACCACACTCCATTTTCCTTGTTTGGCTGTAACTGTTTGTTCCTGTCTGTACTAGTATGTTCGTGTCCGTGCCTTTCTTTGGCTGTCTATGTTCGTTTGTGCCGGTCTGCCTGTGTCTGTGTCTTTCTGTATCTGTCTATTCTTGACTATGTCTGAGTTTTCCTGGGTGTCAGTGGGTGGGGGTGTGTCAGTATATTTCTTTCTTTGCCAATCTGTTTCTGTTTGCGTCTGTGTTTGCCTGACTGCGTCCATCTTTGTCTATATGTTTTTGTTTTTGTGTCTGTGCCTAACTGTCCCTGTCTGTGTGGCTCAAGCCCTCGCTGGAACATGTCAGAGTGTTGACAGTACCTTTGAAGAAATCATTCAATTCCAATTCTGCTTTGGAAATATCACTCAATCTGCAAACCTTTTTCTGATTTAAAACCTTTGTTTTAGTTTTTTTTTTAATATAATGCAGAAAATATTTAATTCATTCGTAAACGTATTGATATATTTTGTTCTATTTCAGTATCTGTGTCCTACAAAGTAATAACATTTAAAATATATACAATTATAATTTTGTATAAGTGCCAATGACCCTCCGGGATAGAGGCATAAATAAGCAAATAAATTGTGTACAAATTACTCTGGTTTGGGTTTTGGCACATTTTTTGCCTGCTGGTGTAGTAGATCTAATCCCATGACTATCAGTTGTTTTTAAATGAGAGAAGTAGGATTTTCAAGTACACTTTTTTAATTTCACTTATCTATTATACACGAAATATATAGTAAGGGAAAGTATTGTGATCGTGAAAAATTTCTAATCCAAATTTTTGACGGAAATACACCTTTTGAGGTACCAGAAGTGTTACTTTTCTGGCTGAATACGCTAAAAATGGCAGATCAGAACTGACAAGACCTGTTATTTATTGATAACAATGTAACCCAGAAGGGACCCCAGGATTGTTTTTTCTATGCTCTCTTCAAATATAAAACTCATCACTAAAATCCAACATCGTCATTTATGAATGATAATGTATTTTAAAATTATGTTATATACGAATTTTAATGTTATATATATTTATTATAATTCAAATGTAGTTGTTAAAATTGTAGGCATGGCCAGACAAAGAAATTACGTCATGAGTACCACAGTTTCGAAGTAGTAAACAACATCTAGTACTTTGGATCCATAATTTACGAACAACTGGATGAAGAAAAGGATTATGCTGGTGAAAAGAGAATATTCTGGCATGTACAAAAAACTGAGGAGAAGGCTGACCTGTATTACCACTTAGGTCAGGATAAACAAAACACTGATAAGACCGGTGGTAACCTAGGCCAGCAAAACCTGGGTTATAAATAAAATGACCAATGACCTATTGGACCGGTTTGACACAAGTATACTGAGGAACATCCTGAGACCAATTTGTGAAAATGGAGTTTGGCGGCTTAGGAAAAATAGGAATCTGTATAATAAATACAAGGACCTAAATATCTCAGCCAGCATCAGAATCCAGCAATTGAAGTGGTTTGGTCGCTTGATGAGAATGGACGAAAGTAGGATGCCAAAAAGACTTTATGAGGGTTCACCAAATGGAAAGAGAAGTAGAGGGAGACTCAAGGGCCGCCAGAGAGATACTGAACTCCAAGACATACGGCAGTTGGAAGTGAAAAAGGTCCATGCAATGGATAATGAAAAGTGGAAGGCGGAGGTTGAAAAAGACGAGGGCTGCTATATGCACCTCTTGAGCTAGACAAAGAAGAAAGAAGAAGAAAAGGCATGGTCAGCTCCACTGCTTCGGACCCGACTGCATTTTCTCTCTTGTCCGACTTGACGGCGACACCTGAGGAATATTGTAATTGTGCTGCAGGGACTTGTTGCTGGAAGTAGCGTATTTTAATTTATTCTTTTGGATTTGAACGTTCAGAAAATCCATTAATACCATATTAACCTGAAACTATCCATTTTTAATGTTTCCCCAACTGAAATAAAAATTCTTGATTAATTAATTGGTGAAAATGGTTTCATTGTCAGATACCAGCATGGGAATCGATTGAAGAAGATTATGTTCTATAAACGATGGATAGTTGATTGTGATGGAGCACTTTTCTTAACCTGCATCTCTGGCCAATTTGTTGTCAATGAACTTATAATCAATAAAAATTAGGATATGATAGTAATTAATGGGGTCTGCGCAGTACATATAGCATGTGAGCCCTCTCAAGATAGTGTGCAAGCTAGTAGAGATCAAAGATTCAATGGGTATTTTCCAGCGGTGGCAAGTCTCATGATCAATTTCTTTTATACCATCTTATAGAATATCATGTTTGATTAATTGATATAGCTAAGAGCAGAGCTATCTCAGATTATTTAATTCGATACAGAACCTCCTGATTCATTTTCCTCCTAAAAGACGGGTATATTGCTGTGAAATGATGATAAGGGACTCCTTCAACTCAATATCATTGTAAAATTGTAATGTCAACTACCTCCAGTGGCTTGAATTTAATTATTTTAATTTTTAGCATTGCTTTCAATCACTACTTCAATTAAACATTTTGTTATAGTATAAGTATAATCTGAGTTTAATGTACACACACACATACTATAGTTTCAATAGTTGATATAATTCCAGAATTTTGAAGAAAATATAAAAGTTTAACGGTAAAACTTTAAAAATAATTTTTACTTCTTGGCATTTCTGGAGGAGCGTTTTGATGCTTAATAACGAACTATGGGCAAAAACTGGTCAATCTCTTGATGTAAAGGCAAGGTAGTATGGCGTGTAGCTCGGGGTGTAATCCAAAAGGCAGCCTCTACACAATGATTCCTTCGATAAGAGGCCAAATTGGAAAAACCAGTTTGATAGATTTAATCAACAAATATGGTGCAGAGCTGCATGCAGAAAATAGGAAAGTAATAGCCCAAAAGAGACAGAGGCAGGGAAGGCTGGTTCAGGTGGCCAAACATCTACAAATGTTTTAAAAAGCCAACAGAAAAAAAAGATACCCCAATAAATGTTTGGTGCAATGTATTAATTTTCAGAGAGAATGTTGCTTTTGTGATAGTATTTACCTCCATACTTGTAGCACATTCCCAAATTTTGAGAAACTTTGTATGAGTATAGATGAAAATAAGTAATTATTCATTCTTTTTGTTACACTTCCAATAAGTTTCACCATAAAAACTTTTGAGAGTGGAACATTTTAGGAGTAATGAATTTTCGAAAGCATCAAATTTTGACAGGGTTGTACATCGGAGGAAACCATGATTTAATGGGGTTTCAATTAAGGAGAAAATTCAAACCAGGGAACTAGGTTAAAATAGTAAATGTATGATCTACATTTTTCTTATTCTACTTTTGCCCGTGTTGTTTTAAAAAGAAGGTATTAAAATTTCTTGAAGGAAAGGCATGCTCTATTAACATTGGGAGAGGAGGTTAGACATCTCTGTTAATTTATTTTTATTTAAGCTTAGCACCCAGCAACCTAGATAATGTAATTATGTTTATATGATGTGTTCTCTTTGTTTCATTAAAATCTGGATGGACATTACATTTTCGAATCTTTTCCACCTGGTAACCTTATGCTCTTGAGCCTGAACATCCAGTACCTCTCAAGGATATGATTACCAGAAACCACCTCCTTCATATTCACTTGTGATGGACTGCCATATGTATCCTTATCTTTATTGTACATAATTATTACCTCTTTGGAATCACCATCTATTCAATATTATTGACCTTATTATAAATTTATTATGTGGTCTGAAAATAAACCATGTTTTCATATCGGCTATTCCCCTTAATTATTTGGCCACTTTCTCATGTTACCAATAAGATCAGAACACTGAGGAAGAGGATTTATCATTCTGTATATGGCAATGGTGCCATCTTCCTTTCCAGAGGAAATAAATTCAAATTATAGTTACAAGAGAACTGTATCAGCAGTCTGAGTGTTAACAACAGCTGTAACTACTATTGGTTAAAACAATTAATAAAGCTAATATTAACCAATGTTAGCTCAGAAGTCATCCACTTCACGACCCTAGAGATGCTATCTACCGATTGAATCAACCTGAGCAGGTTTTAAATCTTTCACTTGCGAACGGGGCAAAACAGACTCAAAGCACACCTGTTCAGTAAGTTCAAAATTGGCTCTAGTTCCCTCTGGGAGTACGGTTAGGGTGAACAGAATGTAGAGCATATACTGCAAACGTGCAGGGTCTATTCCCAGCCTGAAGAACCTGGGGAGGACTACCGAATTCTTCATTTTAGTTTCTCAACTAGCTATATAAGGAAGAAGGCACAAGAAGTGAAAGTTGTGTGATGCACTTGTTGAATTTAGTAGTTCCTGTAGCAAAACTATTGAGAAATAAATGACAAATAAAACCTGGGAGTCAGGAAAGTAACTTGAAGATAAACTAATCAGTAAGGTGATATTTTAAATTAAGCCATATGTTATCAAAAAGATTCCATTAATGGCAAAATGTAACAACAAGTTAGGAATTCTAACAAATTTGCAGCTCAATCATTTCATAATATAGTCAATGTATTGTTACATATAGATAATAAATTTTTTGGTACTATTTTTGTTTAAAGAGAGAGAAAAAAAAGTTTAATCTACCTCAAAATTTTCATTATTTAACAAGTGATAATTTCATTAAGGATGCAGCAAGCATATAATATCTGGTACCCTGAAGGGAAAAATTTTAAATTATAACAATTTAATATAATATAGTACAGAAAAAATTTAAGTACTTGCCTAAATTATCTTGAGATATATTTTTAGCAGTAAGAGACCCACAGGTTACTGTATACAAGAGGAAGAAGATACTGAGGATTCGACACAGAAACATTTCTATCGATTCGATGAGACTGTACCCGAGGCTGCTTACCAAACCTATGTTATTGCTTTATCCTAACCCAAAATTTATCATTTATCTATCCAGCCAGAGGTTGTGGTTGTTGTGTGAAATGAAAACAAATAAAAACTAACATATGTTTATATATTTAATACTTCATCTCATCATTGTTATATCTTATTAAATAACAACACTATAAACTAATGCACAATGCAATAATATTAATAAAGATTTAATAATATCTCTTTAGATTATATACAAATTCTAAATATACACATTTGTAAAAAAAAATTTAATTCATATATTGGTCCCTAATGTTGAACACAACTTTCAGATCTTATTATTATAACAAGCACATATGTTATTTACACACACATATTAAACAGTAAATAGAAATAAATCATAATAGCATTTATCACATGGGTAATAAATAGATCTAGGTAGCATAATAACAACAGGAAATTTCTTTTTTCATCCTTAATTGTTACAATTAATAATTTTTACACAATAATTGTATTAATAATAAAGCATGATAATTTTCCTATCCATTCATTCGCTTCTTTGTTACTTTCTCAGTGGATCTAGAGATTCTAGAGAAAAATCATCATTTCCAATTGAAAGTCCTCTGCTAAATCCATCCTAAAAAAAATAATATATTAAATTATCGTTAAAAAAAAAACTTATTTCTATTTAATAAATTTATGTTTTAAAGATATAAAAAAATTATAAAGTGAAATAATTATATTTTAGAAATGAAGATGGCCTAAATAACATCTATCGTATAGAAAAATAATTTACTGTTTTGGAGATACGTTTTGTTTCAAAATCTTTGTAATTGTAATATTTGATTGATTAAAATAATTTTACCTGGCTAAAAATAAAGATAAAATACTTATTACAATTATTTAAAAATATAAATGAAATTATTTGATAATTATGAGAATATTCCTCTATCTTTTAATTATTTTTCATTTATGAGAAGGAGTTAATCGGGGGTTGCGGTCAAAGATACAGAACCGCATCTCTACATCTACATCTCTACATCATTATATTTTTCATTTACTTTGTTTATATCATGTATATAATTTATGAAATCTACGCTGGTCACACTATTTCCGTCATTATGGTCATACAATTAGAAAATACATTTTTTTTTTTTTTTTGCACTCTCCACACCTGTCAATTATAATTATTGACAACGGCAGTGCTGGCATAGTCATGAGAAAAATAATAAAAATATAAAAGTGCTGGCATAGTCATGAGAAAAATAATAAAAATATAAAAAGGCTTGATAAGTATTAGGAAAAGCAATACCCAGCGGTATCCTTTCCATGGCTTTTATCTACTAATGAAAATACATAATTTAATTTATGTTATAAAAAATAATTAATATTATTTATTATATATTAATACTAATTAATATATAATAAATAAATTTATGTGTACTATTTAACAGGGAAAGGCAGAAAGTATACCAATGATGGTACCACCCACTGTGGAAAAAAAATGCTTTATAGCAATGTTATCTATATTTACTGGAATTTAATTATTTATTTTTAAGTAATAATAATAATTTATTAAATTTATAGAAATGAAATTTTTATAACATTAAAAAAACACTGAATCAAGAACAATGATTAAAGATGAAAGAATGTTCTAGAATTGGTCTGTTACTATATAAAAGAAGAAGTTTCATAGACTAAGTTAGTTGTTGGCATTAAGTTTGAAGATAGTTCAAGAATGAGTTCATGTTGAACAGTTATCAGTGTAAGATTACATTTTTTGTAAATAATTTTGTCATCAAGTGTTTTAGTTAGTGTCTGTGAGTTATTCTTTTTACTTATAGTTAGTTTGGCGCTATATCACATGGACACGTCCAGTCCACCTCAACCAGCAACCTCCAGAGATTTCTGTCTTGTGCTGCTGCCATCCAGTTGTGGGCTCCCAAACTCCTCGCATCCTCAGCCACACAGTCGATCCATCGAAGTCGGGGGCTGCCAACTCTCCTACAGCCATGGACTATCTCTGTCAGTAATCTTATAGGAGATTCCTGATCTTCCATCCTGGCCAGATGTCTAACCCATCTTAGACGATATCGTTTGATAATACTAACATCAGGCTCACCAAAGAGGTTGAAGACCTCTTCGTTGAACAGTTATGAGTGTAAGGTTATATTGTTTGTACATAATTTTGTCATCAAGTGCTTTAGTTAGTGTCTGTGAATTATTTTTTTTTTACTTATAACATTAATTAATAACAATAATCTACGGTTAAATTTACAGTTGCAATTTATCAAAATCGCTAGAAAAACCTAAGATTTACTTACTTAAACAAAAATCATAATTTAACAATAATTTCATGCTTAATAAAAAAAATGGGTGCTGTAAACTTGGTTCTGTATCTGTAAGATTAGGAACGTGTATATATGCTAGCCTTTTATTATGTAAATTTGAAGAACAAAAAATCTATGTTTTTACCTTCATTTCTAATATCCTCTTATCAAGCAGACCGATTGCATTTTCCAAATCGACCGGTGCGCTGCCAAAATCTCCCATCCCAAATGGATCAGATTCTAATGTTGGCGAAGCTGTAGGCTCAGGTCTTTTCTTTGGCGGCTTTGGTGGAGGAGCCACTGGAAAAATTTATGCAGTATATTAGATTATAATAAATAATACAGCAATAAGATTATTGAATAATTTTTGGGATCTCCAGGGAAACCTAAATCTTACAATACCAGGACAATATAATTGGTCTTCTCCTCACTACTATCAGAGGTGCTTTTTACTTTCTCCATATACTTTTTAATCTGATTCCATTACCCATCTCATATCTTCTATCTCCTTCAGTTAAAATGGAAAATTCACTTTCCCCACACACGTGCTCCCATTATTCCGATTACTAGACCCCCTTTCCATAAAACAGCTGAATTTAATAAATTCTTTATTAACATCTATTAAGGAATTCCAGTTCTACCCTATTACACGATATAACTTCTCATTCAACATTTAAATCCCATCTCTATTTCTATATCCAGAATTAATGTAAAAATCGACTAATTAGAAATAAGACTTACACAGAGGAGGATTTCCATTAGTAATTGGGGAAGTGTTGGAATTTTCAAATGCTCTTGGATTGAAATCATCATCTAATTCATCTAAAAGCAATCCTTCTAATTTTGTTCCAACAGCCGGGATCTCACTGTAACAAAGGCATGAAACCTTAATACAAAGAAACACACAGATACATAATATGATAAAATTTATTTTATGAATAAACATAAATAGGACTGGATATTTTCGTTTAGCCATATTTTTAATTTCCAACTGCAACAATTTCAGAAAAGAATATTAATCAAGTCTAATTTTCAATGTGGCTTTCATTTTGTCATGACGTTTCAGAGCCCTCAGAATTTAAATAATGTAATTTTGACAATTTGACAGCGTGCCTGTGCCAGGATCTTTTAATATTTTTATTTTGACTATCTGATCAATTTAGTTTTTTTTATATGTTTTGTAGAATTTTTCTTTTTGATGCCTGTGTAATAAAACAAATGCCAAACCCATTTTTTAAAACATGTTTTGCATATATGTTCCCATCGAAACTTGTTAACTTCTTATTAGTTTTTCGAATATTTCAAAAGTTATACTTCTACTGAAAATTTCAGATGCTTATTTAAAAGACTGTCTACAAAGCTGAACTAAAAATATAAAGAAATAAAAAATCTTAATCAGACCAGTATTAGCAAAGAAGTAGTTAATAATTTTTGTATTTGTTTGCATTTTTGCACTCAAAAATTTATTATTAAAGTTTAGATGGATAGACATACGGAATTATACTTTAAAGAAATGCATTACTCATAAAAATATGAAGAACGAAACAAAATTTCAAAACAAATCAATATTAATTTTAAATGAACCGTCCATCATGTAATAAGAGATGGAACAGCTAAGATCCCAGAAAAATAATGATTACATCAATCTTATTAGTAAAAAAATAATTAGTTATCATCATACTACAATTAATACATTTCTATTCACCGTTTTACTTCATTTAGTGACTTTTTAAATTTTTATGAATTAAACGATTGTTTAACTAATTATATTTAAAAAAAATATTTATTACACCTTCAAGACAAGGAATTTTTATAACAAATTATATTATCGGTTTATAGCCAAAAAATTAAAAATAATTAATATTTCTTAGTCTTAAATCACTAGGAATTTTGTGAAATCAGAAAATTGTGTGCTTTTTGTAATTATATTTGATATATGAAGAGGCTTGTATCATTTTAGAACACTTGCTGTGTTTTTTAAATAGATAAATAGGGCCAAAATTCACAAAAACATTCTTGAAAGTTCATCTTCATCAAAAATATACTTGGTGACTTTTTACAATAAATCGACAATATGTTAAGTAAGACAAATGAAGTAAGTTTATTACTGCATTATGAAAATTCAAATTTAAATCCTTACCCGATAAATGAGCTTTTTTCAAAAGCCCTAGGTGGGACAGGAGGAACTCCCGGGCTGGAACCCGACGAATTGGTACTACTTGAAGAACTATTACTACTATAATTCAAGTTGAGGAGCAAACCTGAAATAAATAATCAATGTTAATACAATTGTATAAAATAAACCATAACTTATATATCATCAAATAATCCATTAACAGGAATCAGCCCAGGTGATACAACAATATAATTAGAAGATACACTTTGATTTTAATCTGAAATTTCAATACTTTAAAGCAAATTATAACATCATAAGGAATTTTCGAGATTGGAAAATCAACTTCACAGCTTAAAATTTTTTTATTTTGATTATATGATGTTTTATCTGTCAGGCCTTGGTTCTAAAATAGACAATATGCTTGTAAAGTCTCAAGAGAAAAAAAATTGGGCTTCACTTTATAAACAAGCTTCCATGTGTGTATTTAAAACATCGCCAAAGTTCTCCAAATGGTGCTAGACGACCGCCGAATTAAAGTGAGGGAGATAGCAGAGGTTATGAACATGTTAAAAGAATGTGTTTGTTACATATTAAATCAACATTGAGATATGAGAAAGCTGTCCACACGTTAGGTGCCGCGTTTGCTCACGCTAGACCAAAAATGTGTTTGAATGAACATTTCCAATGCTCTTTTCGTGCAATAAATCCGAGTTTTGGCGCCAATTAATTACTGTAGATGAAACTTGGATACACCATTATATGCCCAAAACAAAATTACAGTCCAAACAGTGGACTGCAAAGGGGGAACCGGCTTCAAAAAAAGCAAAAACTGTTTTCTTGGCTGGGAAAGTGATGGCGACTGTTTTTTGGATAGTCATGGAGTTATTTTAATCGACTATTTTCAAAAAAAAAAAAAAAAACCATTACAGGAGCATACTAAGCATCATTACTTGACAAGCTGAAGGCAGTACTTGGGAAAAAATTTATTCACCAAGACAATGCACTGTCTCACACGTCAGCAGTTGCCATGGTGAAAATCCACAAATTATGGTTTCAAGTGCTTGACACGTTTTTTGTTCCCTTATCTAAAAATTGCGCTCGGAGCACAGAGATTTTGTCAAATGAAGAAGCAATCACCTTCGGGAACAATTATTTTGCAGAGAAAAACGCTGAGTACTTTTTGAACTTGTTACAGAGATCGGAGCATCACTGGGAGAAGTGTGTAGAGTTACAAAGAGACTATGTTGAAAAATAAAAAATCAGAAAAAATATCTTGTATTTTTGATAGGTTGGAAACTTTTCAGACCACCCTAGTACATGACATTATCTTATAGAATTATTTTTTTTGTTTAATCATTAATTTCTTCTTACAGCTTTTCAAACTATGATTAGTAACAAAACATAATTTTAATTTCATTTAGTGGAGATAGAAAGAAAAAAAAGATATAGAATCAACCCAATTATTAAATAAGAATTATTGCCAGCTCGCTACTGATGTATTGATATTCACATTTCAAGTGTTAAGCAGCATTACAAACAACCAACTTTATTCATCAGTGTTGGGCTCTAGCATTAAACTAAAACTATGACAGAAATACCAGATAACTGTTTGTTAAGATAATACTCGAGATATTAATATTTTGTACAAATTATTTTAATTTTTTCAATATCTTTAGTATAATATTAACATCACAACGATATTATTACAATTTAAATATGATTTTATAGGTATAGTATTGAATATAAAGATAAAGCAGAACATACCATTACTCTCGGAAGTCCCATTGGAAGTAGGAGCAGAAGAAGAATTGACTGGAGTTGTGGAATCTTCTGAAGAAGGAACTGTAAGCATATTGCTTATTTTATTCCGCCTCATGTAACCTTCCAAATCCTGAAAAATCAAAATATTATAGAATTGAATAATAAGGAATATACCAGTCATGTATTTCCAAAAACCAACCAAATGATAAAACTAGATTCTTTAGGAAAGAAAAATCAAAAATCACAGTAACTTTAAAAATTACAATTATTTTTTCAAAAAATTACAAGTTCAAAAAATTTAAAATTGGAAGTACGGATTTTAGGATGGAAACTGAGAATGAGACAACTGCTCCTGAGGTATGAACGACTATTGTATGGTACATATTCAAATATTTAAGCAATTTATAAGGTATTATAAAAACACAGAGAAAAAATAAAAATAAAATAACAATAGAATAAAATAATGCCAAAACTTAAAGAAGATATAATAACAAAACCAATTACCTGTTAAATTTTTATAGTTCCCAGTAATGTTTTTATCAAGGCTTGAAATGGAAAAAATCTTTTATTTTTAAAAAGTTTTGATACCAGAATTTTTGTTGTCGATAGTGTTTCAGTTATTTCAGAACTTTTTCCCTTACAACAAGTCAAGGTTTTACAGAACTTTTATTTCTAAAATTTTTTATTTAAAAGTTCCGTCGATTTTGCTGAAAAGTCTATCTAAAAAATTACTTTTATTCATAACTACTCAAGCAAACGACACATTAGAATTATATGTAATTCATTTAGGACAAATTATAACTCTAATCTAAGCCCAATTACTGTTTTTCATTTGACGGACTTTTTTTTTAAGAATTTGAATAAATAAAAGTTAAACTTTTACCATAAATCTGAAACTTTATTATAAAAAAGCTCCTTAGACCTTCTTTTATAAAAATAATCACAGAAACTGTTAAAAAAAGTTCCATAAAAGTTTCAACCCATGGTTTTCACGTTTCATCTTAGAAACAGAATCTTATGTATATATTGATAAAAAACAATTCAGACAGGTTTTGGAAACAAAGAACTCATATTACATTATTTTTATATAACATTCTACATACCTGTTTTGTGGCAGATATAATTAATCAAATAAAACAAACATAATTTAATCAAAGCATTTGATAATTCACTTCAGGATATCTTTAATATTGCCAAAACCTGTATTGATAAGCAAGTTAAAGTATTGACTGGGTAGTAGGTATTGTCTAACATAGTTTGCAGAAGTAAATGGTTGAGAATGAATGAGGGATGTTTTTTCTTGAGAATGGATGATTAAGCCGAGACACAGTTTATTACTTACATTAGCGTGGCCATTGAGAACATCAGAAAGCCTCTGCCTCAGTGTGGAAGCTTCGTGCTCCAGCTGCTTCACTCGTTGCTGCAACACCATCATCCTTCGCTGCACTTCCAGGTCTTTACCACTAGTTTCGACAAACCTCCTGTAATATTGTTAAATATTAAAAATAAAATAAAATAGGGAAATGAAGGACTGAATAAAACCTAATAATTAATAAAGATATATGGATACTTAAATGATAATTATATGTTTTTCTTGTATCAGATAAAGAATTATATTGAAAAAAATATATATATAAAAAAAATTAACTAATAAAATTATTATATCAAAATAATAATTTTCTTGAAAAGATACTTTAAAATGTCAATCTAACTTTATGGAAATTAATTGATTCTTTATTTCATTGAAGTATAGTACACTTTTTTTTAATTTATTTTTTTTACTTTTAGCTTTATTACTTGAAACTGTTGATAGTTAAGAAATATTTATTAAGTCTATAGGCATATATTTTTATAATAGATTCACAATAAATTTTTTTTTTTTAAGACTATTTATTTTAATATAGTTCAAGTATTTAATTTGCGATATTCATTCACCTAAGATATTGGAACTATTTAACAGTACTATTAAGTTAAAATTCAATATTGTAATTATTTATTTATTTTCCTAGATAAGCCATGGTAGGTGACACTCTGGTGACAACCTAATATATTTAACAACCAGTTCTTAAATAAGCAATCATAATTGCTGCGATTTGTGATTATTTATTTTTGAGATGGAGTTTTGTTGACCATTTTGAAAATTATTTTGGATGATAGTCAGTATTTTTCACACATATTGGCTTCACCTATGAATATGAGATTTTATCAAAATATGCTATGTAGTTTCATGATATTTATAATGTCAAAACATAAAATCAGCTTTTTTTGGACATAATGAGAAATACCTTTTTATTCCCAGAATTATTTCTCCCTTCCCTTATTACGGTTCCAAATTGGCAAGAAGAATTATTATAATTATATAATAATATAAATTGGCAATAAGGGGTGTAGCATATTCTAAATTTGATATTTTGGGTGTTTTAGGGGAGTGTAATATAGTCCATATTTTCTGTTGTAATTTAATTGTCTAAATCATATTGTTTTAAAAAGAACATATGTTTTTATTAGTCAGTATGTAAACAAGTTTTTGGTTGTATTATATTCTTAACATATAAATCAAAATAAATGTTTTAATTCATTTATTAACTCAACCAAAAACTTGTTTATATACTGACTAATAAAAACATATGTTCTTTTTAAAACAATATGATTTAGACAATTAAATTACAACAGAAAATATGAACTATATTACACTCCCCTAAAACACCCAAAATAATCAAATTTAGAATATGCTACAAGGGGCGATGTATAATACAAATTTTTAAAGAAATTAAAAATTTGTCCGAACTGTGTTTATGTTGAAAATTTTGTTTAATTTAATTTATGTTGATAAAAAATAATACAATCTGAACTACTGAATACACTTAAATTTTAGTTATATAATATGGGTAACGAATAGTAAAAATAAGTGAACAGTTGTATAATTTGTAAAACGAGGATTGGTCCGCCATGAGTTGGACACCACTTAGTATAATACAAATAAATAAAACAATTATACTAAGCAATTAATAAAATATTTCTGCAATCACAAAAGAACTAATATTTTATTGGGAGACTAGAGTATTAAAATTTAGCTTCCTATACATCCTATCAATAATGCCTTATATACATTATAATAAATAAATTAATGAGTTTTTAAAAGCTTACTTGTATGCTAGATCGAAAGCTTGTCCTATAGTGAGCGTAATCTCCTCTGCCAGCTTATCACTGACAAAAACAAAACACACATGCCTCTCGGAATCGGGGCAGTCCTTCGCAATGAATGAAAAAAATTTCTTCTCTCCTTTATCATCAGCACAGTACGATATCCGGTGGAGAGGATATTGGTGCAGAATTCTCTAAAATGTATAAACAATTTAATTATTTACACGAATTTAAGAATATAAATAGATGTCAAACTTCTTAAATTAATAATAGCAAACTATAACTGTTATACTGAAAAAAAAACCCCACTATATACATATTAATTAATTTATTATTTTTAATTAACTAATTTTTAATAATAAATTATAACTATTGTAAATGAATATCACATATTTCTATTCTGTTTATTTAATCTCATGATTATACAGTAATAATCTTTGAATTGATATTTTTTCATGTTGATGTTTGTCTTATGGATTAGAACTACATAATTTTTTTACAATAGGATTACATATTATATAACCTAATGTGATTAATTAATGAAATATTCCTGCTTGGAATTAAACAAAAATTTCTATATCAATAAACATTTTAATAAGCTTGATAAATGATAAATAATTTCCCAGAATTAATAAAGCAAAACAATATTATTTTCCTTAAATTAAATTTAAATATATTGCACTGTCACCAAACTTTTTAATTTAATACAGATTATAGCTGCTATGTTAAAAAAATATATTTATTCATATACTTTTTTATTAATTCATTATTCTTAACACGTTAGCTGTGGTTACGGTCTCCTGGTTCTGATATTCGTCTCTAATATGGTCATTTTTAAAAATATTTGAATGAGAGTTGGATAGATGTAAAGATAATATACAAACTTAAATAATCATTATATCTGATAGACACTGAGGACTGTAACCACAGCTATCGTGTTAATATACACATGCATTAGCGGATCCAGAATTTAATTTTGGGGGGGGGGAGGCTTCAGTCCTAAAGATTTTTTTTTCATATACATATAAAGATAATTAATTTGAAAAAAAAATAAAGAAATTAACTACCTTCTTGAAGTCCTATTAAATGAAATTAAACGAACAAGAATACTGATAGTTTTTATTATTTTTTTCTGTAAAACATGATTATATTTTACCATTTGGGGGAGGAGGGGGGAGGGCTTCAGCCCGAAAGCCCTCCTCCCCCTCGTAGATCCGCCTGTGTACATATGTACCAATGTAAATGAATATCACATACTTCTATTCTGCTTATTTAATGTGACGATTATAGAGTAGTATTCTTTTAATAGTTATAATTATTTTTTCATGATGATACTTTTTCGTAACATATTTTTTTAAAAAGGTTTGCATATTTTATAATCAGATGTGATTAATTAAATAAAAACATCGTTTATTGGAAGTAAATGGAAATTCTTATATAAAAAAATAAAATATTTTCATTATATATTAAATTATTTAGAAACCATATTAAATAGTTTAGATAAATATTCAACAAAAAAAAATGGTTGTTAAGCAAAAAGGGTAGACAAAAAGAACAATTGTTTACATCCAATAATAAATGAAACCCAGAAAGTGATCACAGAGTTGTTAGCGTGATGGTACCAAAATGCTAGGTTTGGAACATTGAGGGTTAGATTCTTAACAGGGTCAGTTAATATTTATTTCTTGGCTGCTCCAAGGAGTGAATCTTGAATATAAGCTTAGTACGTGGTGGAACCTATAGGAGACTGTCAGGAGTTGGCAAAAAGGACAAGATCCACTTGTTGGACTAGTACGCTCCCACCAATACCAGTACTAGTAAAATGATTTTTATATAACAAAATGCATAACCTGACTTGACAATGGTTGGATAAACAGTTGTGTATTCAAATTTAAAAATAAAGATTGATTAATATGTCCTAGTGAAAAACAAATTGAACACAATTGCCTACTTAATGCGTTACCCAAAGGTCAACATCATAAACAATAATATAGTTGTGTTATTATTAAGAAAAATGTTACATACCTTAGTTTTTGGTTCTTGAATCGCGACACCATCGATGCTTATAGTTAGTTCAACCTTTGGTGTTTTGGTTCCTTCAGCTTTTCTAAGCTGTTGGTTAAACTTGAGTTTTCTAATTCCTTCCTTAACGACATCAATACCTTTTGGCTGATCAACTTCAGTGTTTCCTAGAAACTTTAAACAAAAATGAAACTATTAGTTTTTCTCAATGTGATATTTTAAAAATTGTACTTAACATAACATCAAATACTATAAGAATAATTTTCAAGTTATGAATATGAAGGGACATTTATAGTTATAAATATATATTTTAAAACATTTACCTTAACGAGGTAGGCGATATGTCCCTTTTGCAACGTGTCTGGTGGGTGTAACCAGTTTCTATTACCTGAAAATACATTATTAAAACAAACTCTATTGGCATGGTATATAAATTTAATTATAATCTAAATTAAAAATCATTTAAAGGATGTATGGAAAAGTAGTAAAGTACAGCATATAAATATAATGCAGTCTTTATTAAAAAAAAAAAAATAAATAAATAAACAACCTTTATCATTTTGTTTATTCTGGGCCCATTTCAGCAAATTTGAGTTTCTCATATTGTTTCAAGATCTGAAAAATAAAATAACATACATAAAAATATTTTTATTAAATAAATTAAATATATAATTAATATATTTAAAAAACGCTGAGGTCATTAATAATTAATGTCAAGAGGAAGCAACAGAGGATTAGATAGATAGTAAAAAGAAGTGACCATGAATAAAGATTACCCAATAACATAAATTCTTGTTTATCTTTAACCTTTTTTTTTTTAAATAGGAAATCAAAAGATTAAATAAATAAATATGCAAATTTGAGATAAATAGTTGGAGTAGAAAATTAATGAGAAATAAAAGCATATATTTATTTTGTTTTAAGATTTACTCAATTCTATTAAATAATAATAAAATAATCATTAAATTATTGATTAAGAAAGTTGTTGATTACTTTATAAATTAGGGAATATCAAGCTAGAAAAATCAAAATACTAAAAATATTAATATTAAAAAGTATAATTTGTTCTTCATTTAATGTACTCATTTGTAAGGTTTTACTTGTTAAGTATTTTAAACAATTATAGTAATAAAAGAGCTCATTGATTTCAATTATGTGATAATTTCATGAATGCAGTCAAGTTCATATTTGTGGTATTAACATTTGAATAAGATTTACATGATCTATTTTTAGACTACTCATGATTCTCAAGCTCATCGATAGATCCATAAACGGAATTCAGCATATTTCTTTATTCATTGAATGAATCATTGATAGCTGAGCTATTCATACGCATTGGGGGTGGGGGAAAGGTGATTTAATATGTAAATTATGTAATGTTGTATTTCTCAATTAACTTTACAAATTTTTATTTGGATATCTATATCTATTTCTGTTTTGTAATTTAGCAATTCAGTAGGTAAATATTTCTTTATATATTTTTCATGTGTTTTGTAATCTTCCAGTAGTATTATTAGATATGTATTTTTTCTTTTGTAACTGTTCATTATTGTTACTCTAAGGGGATATTGTCCCAAATATTATTAATTTTTGTAAAAGAATCCAGGTTATTTCTAAACGGGCTCATTATTACCTATTAATAATAATGATAAAGTAGAGAAAGATGTCTTTCTATTACAAGCTAAATAGAAATAATATGTTTAACAATTAATTTCACATATAAATACATACCTAATTAAAATAATATATACTTAAATTTTATACTTAATTATCTGATGACATCTGTCAATAGCAAAATTAAGAATCGGCAAATGAGAGTGACATAATAGAATATTATTTTTAAAAAATGGGTAAGTTTCTATACTCAGCGCCAGAGCACCCTTCCCCCCCCCAAGGTTGATGGAGCGCACATAAACCTCCTCCCCCTTCCAAAATATTTTAGTTATTTCCTCTTCTTAAAATTAGTGTTAGAGAAAGTATTATTCAAAAAATCCTAGATCATATACAATTACATTTAATACAGTCTATTCCATCTCTTTCTGGTGCTCACCACTTGTTGGAAATTTAAAAAAATACAAAACCTATTAAAATAATTAATTTTAGCCTATCAATAAGGAACTTTATTAGAGAAATGTTGAAGAAAATAAAATTCAAATATTACATAACATAAAAGAGCTTAAAAAATAGATTTAATTTTTTTTTAGCAGGGGAGATGACGTCATTGCCCAGGGGCGCCGAATATCTATGATGGATAAACAGATCCTAAAAGCTGAGTAACCGCTTTAAACTATACGGGCCAAAGGAGAGGGAGGGATAAATGTCAGAGTTAAAAGCACCTCCGGCAACGGAACGCGAACTCGTAATAGTTTTATCATGTTACATTCAGATTCAGTTTATCAGGTTGTCTGGCAATACTTGCACACTTATTAGCTCAGCTAATCTCTCCCCGTGGCTATTTTATTTATTTATTTAGCAGAACAACAGAGAATGACCAAGGCTATAGAGATATGTATGACACTGGTGCCCACTGGCGAACAGCGGGACCGACACATCTTCCAGCTGTAATCTAATCAGTCATGAGATATTCCCTGCAGTATCAACCTTGTAAGATAAGGAATGACTCACTGTATCAGCACAGTATATGCACCAAACTCATAAACAATACTGTATCTTCAGTCCACTTTAATAGTAATATATGTACATTTTTTAATAATAATGCTTTATTTATTCTGGGACGAGTCCCTTTAGAACAATACAGAAAGACACAAATGTGGTCTAAGGAGCCTCAGAGACACATAAACAAAAATATATAGTGATTAAATAGTTAAATTAAATTAAATTAAAAATAATGAAGAACGATCTAATAATTTATGTATATATTTACAGAGGTATCTATTTACAATTTTATGGGGACTGAATGGATAAGAAATGATTGAACAGTCGGGATTTAAAGTTGGGAAGGGTATTGGATTGAGGATGTGGGAAGAGATGGAGTTCCATAGGGATGAAGACTGGATAATGAACGATCTGTCGAAAGCAGTGGTTCGGTGGGCCCTTATGTATAAATCAGAAGACCTGGAACGAGTATTGCGGGAGGATTTGAATTGGAGGAGCACGGAGATGTATGAAGGTTGGTGGGATCGGATGACTTGAAAGAGGATGTCAGGGAATATTTACGATGGTAGGAAGGATATTATTTAAAACAGAAAACCTTTTGGGAGTCAGCATGAAAAATGATGACTTTAGCATTACAAACTAAATATTTATACTTTTTGTCTCTCTGTGTACCAATATGAGTATGTACGTATATATAGTTCCTTTCTTTACCTTTATACCACAATTAATCCTGAGATTTTATTTTATCTTAGTGTTTGCTTATTATTATATGAATCACTGCAAATATTATTACATTTTGTATTAAATTATTTTTCTATTAGATAACCTATTGTTTATAAATTGTGCAGTTATGTATATATAGTCATAATTTCTTTACTTTTTTTTTTTTTGTCATCACAATAATAAGTAATTTAGAGAAGATTTTATGTTCATTTATATATATAAATGTTTATTTCTTAGTGGTTGGTTACATACTACTTTTTAAATAATGTATATAATGTTAGAATTTTTATAAGTTAGTTTTTGGCCAGATTTGTATTTTATTTTGTATTAATTCATCTTTGTTATTCTAAGGGGATTTAGTCCCAGAATAAAGTTCTATTTTCTATTCTATTCTATTTATGTTATTCGAAATAAATTAAAAAACTATGAACTATAGAGGGCAAAAAAATAAATAAAGGAATAATAAACTATGTTTTATTTATTTTTTGGGAAACCTTTGGGGGCGGGGTGGCCGAATGGGCTAAAGCGTGTGCATTGCACCGGGAGTTGCCTGGCCTTGCAACCGGATAAGAGATTTGAGAAGGTTAAAAAAGTATGAGTTCGCATCCCGGTGCCGAAGGGGTTTTTAAATTCCCCGCCCTCACCCTCCGGCCCATGAAAATCCCGTATAGCCTAAAAGGCAGGTAGGTAAGAAAAAAAAAAATGAAATAAATAAATATGTATCAAAATAATGGTGAAACGTTATCTACCTAGTCTAAAATATTCTTTCACTCGAAAATAAGAATATAAAACTACTTTTATATTCTGTGATCAATTCTGAATTAAATTAAATGAGAAATTTTAATTATCATAATGGCATGCGTATCTTGAGTTGAAAAACCCTGGGAAAATCAAAGTCTGTACTCTTTCTCAAAACAAACGTCGTGGTCAATATATCCAAGAATACTATGAAAATGATCGTAATTACACATATATTATATAATTCCAATAGATACTTTAGGAGTATACATTTCGAAACTGACTGAATCAATTTAGAATATATTAAGTCATCGCCAACCTGAATTTATGTGTATTTAGTTAAGAGGTTTCTGAATTAGGAACACACATATATGCTCCGCCTGAAAGAGCCTTATAAAAGTTTGGGTAATTCCCTCCTTATCTTATCACTGTCACCCAGGGGATGCTTCTATCATAGCTGTCAGTTGTACTTGTAAACAACAGTTTATTTATCTATTATTTTACCAAAGTCAAATAAAAACAGGTTTATATTTTAACAGTCCGTCGAATATGGTTTATTATTCACGCTTCACTGACAAAAAGATGTCTTTAGTGGGTTTTGATCGATGTAATCAAGAATGATTATCGAAGGTTATCAACAGCAACAGCTGAGCTAATCAATAACGAACGGATCTAAATCAGTGACAGTTTGTTTGGTAGAAATTTATTACGAGGATTAACCTTAGAATTCAAAGTTTCGTGGCCGATTGAAACCTCTACTGCTTCTGGTTCTGAGTAGTGTTTGAGTTGGGTTTTTTAAATAGAAATCTGTTTATTTGAAACAGTTTCTTCCGTGAAACAGATACGGTTAACTGCTTCAAACAAGATCAAACAGATACAGAACGGAAAACACCTCACAGCAGTGGGTTAGCGGACGGTGAGGTTGATACCGAAGAAGAAAGAGGAAAACAATGAGTGAACTAGTTTAGTTAGAAAAAAAAAACTATTCCCTGTAACAATACTGTTACCAAGCAACGGTACCAATGGACTGTTTTGATAGATACCTCCATAATTCAAATAGACACCACAAAACAAGTAACAATGAATACTTGACCTAAAACTGGTTATAGAATTTGAAAAAAAAAACAAACAAGGAAATCAAATTTGTCTTAACCTATGACAATTTTAAAAAGAAAATCAAAAAGGACGAAATATTCGTCAAAGACGATTGTGGATGAAGAAAATGTTAAGAATCTAATATTTAATATTTTTATTTGTATCCTAACAATATGTTAAGTAGATAATCATCATCATCATCACCCCGAGCTCGACAATCCATTATTGGATCTTGGCTGCCTCAAGAGTTTTCCTCCATGTTTTCCTGTCCTTAATAGCCGTCCACCAGTCCCTGATTCAAAGAACTGGCAAGAAAACTTAATCCATCTTTTCATCTTAGTTATGGTCTGCCTACTTTTCTTTTTCTACACGGCTCCATGCACAGCAGCTTCTTTGGGGTTGAAGTCTCGTGCATTCGTACAACGTGGCATCTCAGTCTTGCT